CCCGTTTAAATAAATTAGAATTCCACAGTCCTGCTAACGAAGAACGATGTCTATATATTATTATAAAAATTTAAGTAACAGGAATTTTTGTTTAGAATGATATCGAACCATGAGAAGTGGGCGCCATGTAATCAACGAAACATTCAACTGCAATTTTCTGTCATTTTCATGTTTTGTAAAAAGAATTGACTGAACCAAGAACGTACGATTTTAAGTGAGCGATCGACCATAGTGAGTCCATTTTGATTAAATAATATGATTGTAAATAAATTATTGTTTTCTCATCACTGTGCGTCGTTTCGCCTGCGATCCTGCGCGAAGATACGCGAACGGAATCGATTGCCCGCGGAAAATAAGCGCTCGTCAGAGTGTCGTCGCGATAAAGGACCGCTTTCCGTAATCCGAGTCGCTCGTTCCCGTCCCGTTTCTTCGTCTCGCTGTTCTTGTTCCCTGTCGCTGTTTGGTTATCGGAACCTTTCATTAAACGCGTACGTTTCTTTCGCGATCGACAATTGTGTTTAAAATCGAACCGTCGCGTTTGAAACCGAAACGTATTTCACTTTGACGCGTCGACGGAATTCAATACTTTCCATGACAGATTGTATTGGGACACACAATAAGAGTCGAAGGGGTTGCTCGAGAAGGATAAACTCCATTACGGAGAAAAACGGGGGAGAAAACGTTCTAAATACTGTTAGAGGCTAGAGATGAAACGAGTCTTAAGTATCTTGAGGCTTTCGGGGCTCCTGGGCGCCATGGACGGAGCTTACACTAACTATGACGATATTACTACGCGTTAAAGTCTACTTTTGGTGCTACTAGATCGAGTGAAAGCTCCAGTGGGCTTGCATTAGACCTCAGCGGTAAGAAAAGCACAAGAGAAAACGTCTTTCACTCCGCTGGGAATTAGAATTCAAAGGAGTTTCGAGTGACTTAAGTTCTGGAGGTTCTTGAGCGCCATGTGCAGACTTTAAGCGAACTATAGCACTCCTATGGCGCCATTAGCCCCTGGCGAATCGTATTAGACTCTAACAGACCCAAGAAAGAACGTCATCGATACTATAAGAGGCTGAAGTTGAACCTTAAGACCCATTCTCCATGTTTCGAAGAGAGAAATGATATCTCAATATTTGTAGGACACTTACACACTTCTAGCCTAGAGTACCAACCCCTTCACAAGCTCTCTGTACTAAGAAATTTCAGGTATAGATGCGGAATGACTGAAACGAGTCCTGAAGAGTCTTGAACGTCATACGCGGACCTTAAACAATCTAAATCACTCCTGTGGCGCCAAGCGGA